AACTTGCTCCCGGATTCTCCTTTTTAAAGACTTTAAAAGTTATTTTTAAACGGCTCCTGAAGTTTCCATTCTTCCACCACTTTTTTTTTTTTTAAATTTTTTTTTTTGTTTTTTTTCAGCAGGCACTCTACGTAAATACAAATTGCAGTGAACAGAACGTGAAAGCAGTCTTGCCATGTATTCTGGACTTTCTATGATATATGGTGGACTGTTCAGAAGTGTATGCTATTGTTTAAAGCTGTTTGTGCCGGGTGTGCTAATGCACTGTTTGATTGAGTGAATTAGCAGTCATAACAATCTGGCAGTCTGGCCATAGAAGTGTGCTCAAATTGATTTGTGTTATGGCTGGACTGGAAAATCTAGTGTTAGTTGTTTTTTGCCCTGGGGCATTGTTTGTACCAAACTCCACTTTTCATTTAATTTTCCAATAGATTTCTGAAAGACCAAAAGGTTTGTGATCAACGTTTGCTGCACTTTATTATTATTCAGTTATTAAAAATATCCTATGAGTAATTTCAGGTTCCCCAAAACCTTGCTTTCAATTAGAGTAAACATAATTAGCGTGACGTCGTGCTTGGAATGGTAAATCTCCCTTTGTATCTATTAAGCATGTTATCTACTTGTCCTGTCACTGAAAGGAATCCAGTTCGTATTTGTATTGGACAAGGTCTGTGCTAATTTGACTATAATGCAACAATTAGAAAAACACCACCTCAGTATCCAGCTTCTTATTACTGGTACAACACTTCACATCAATCTCAACTGTATTCATTGTGTTTTCAATGTTTAGTAAATATCTTGGTGGAAGGGGAAAAACAAACAAACAAACAAAAAAGGATCCCAATTCACAGACTTACGCAGCTATGAGTCTATTTTCCTGAGCGATGCAGGGGGGATTCGGTACGAGGTCCTTCCCTCTTTCTCAGTCTTCCCTCTAAATAACAGATAGCTCCTGAAAGGAGGATTGCCGCTCGAGACCCTGGAGATTAAAAGCAAAACAGAACTTACCTTCTCTTCGCCAGTACTTCCTCCTTCCTTAGAATCTTCTGCTCAGCGGTCGTTTGCCAGAATTATAATGCAGCATGATTAAACCTAAAACATTACTCTATTGATCACACAGAAAGCTTTGTGAAATCATTTAGTTTCTCCTCTTCTGCAACCAGTGAACAAAATAGGTCACTAGACAAGGATGAGAGAAAATAGAAGGCAGAAAGGTATTTCTCAGGAAAATAAATTCAAAAGAAATGCTGAAAAAAAAAAAAAATTCTGCATGAACTTAACACGGTAATACACTATTCATCCTTACCAGGTGCCTATCTCCCGAATGCTTCCCCTCCCCCCCGGTCCATTCCTTCACACATGTTCAGAAGATAAGTATTTCTTCTCCTTTTTTTTTTTTTTTTCCCCTGAATGAATTTAAATATTTAATTATCAATAATAACTGAAGAAGGGGGAGGGAGCTGATGTACTATCCTATCTCCTGTCAGTCAGGTATTCAGATTCCTTAAAATGCAACTGCTACAATGCATTTTCTAATTGAATTTTACCCTTTACAGCTGCCCTCAAAATTGTAATTTAATAAAATAGTGAACTCCGTATCAGTCTTTTTTTTAGAGCAATAAATTACAATCACTGTCAATATATCTTACTGCTTTAACATACATTTTAATATACCAAAATGGTCAAAAGGAGGGGGGGGGGGAAAAAAGCGAGACAGAGAAACAGAGAGAATACCTGCCCTGAACAGTTACATGAGCAGAACAGAAACCCTGCTTCAAACAATATTCCAGGAAAGAAATTAAAGACTTCTTAATTAGTGCAGCAATTAAGCTTTCTTGGTCGCATTTTAATCAGCCTAGGCCCTATCAAAGGACAAACAGAACGATTTGCAGGTCTTTGAATTTTAAACAGTCTTATTGATTTCAGCACCATAAGTCTTCACTTGACACAGGGAGAATTTTCAAATATCAGTTACAGTAATTTGAGTTTTGCTGATATCAACTCGGAGAGGAAAAAAAAGAAAGCACCCAACAATTCCATTACACGAAAGGGTCAGCCAGTAAGAGACATGCGATCTAAGAAAGTTTACGAAGAGCAACCTGGGGATTTGTTGGTGTGCTTATGCGAGTGTGTGAGCACACGTGCGAGTTAAAATAAATCCAGTCGCTCGCCACGATCATTAGAAGCACTTACCAAGCCAGAGGCTTTGAGGAGTCTTGAACCCTTTCATAAATCTCTTTCTTTCTAGGATTTTAATCCCACTGTTGCATCAAAACGATCAAGGTTAACCCAAACCTGTGGTAGTAAACCCTTTCAAACTACATTTTCTTGATACGGCTTTGGACCGTGAGGGTTATATATCCGTGCGGGGGCACAGTGAGAAGAAAAGCGGAAAGGCTGGCGTGCATCACGTTGCAGGGAAGGTAGGGAACAAATTAAATGATGGGTTTCCTAATTCAGAGTTCACTCGGCTCTCGAAGCGGCGGGATCACGTGGGTCTGGCCCTCTCCTCATCTTCTCAAGGATCTCTTCTGTCTTCACAAGGTGTAAGAGAAGGTGAGACGCGAAAGGATAGTTGGGGCAAAGAAAACCTCAACGGAGGTGGGTTTGGACAACTGAAAAAAAAAAAAAAAACAAAACCGCAGTGTATTTACGTTTTTCATCGTACTCCAAGTTTTAGACCCCGCCACCGGAACTGAAGTTGTACAAGCTCCTCCAGATACACGTTCCGAAAAAAGCACTCGAAATCGGCTTGAAGAAGCGTTCTGCATAATAACGGGTACCCAGGACTCCAAACCAAAACGCCACTTGGTATTGTCTCGGTTTTATTTTATAATTTTAAAGATTTTAGTGCAAGCCAGCTAGAACTCCACTAGCGAAAGACATCTTTTTTTCTGCCGTTGGAACGCACGTTCCCCTGAAGTACAGCAAGCAAGGAGATGAGAATAGTTTGTGTCGGGTAATGTGGAAATTCCCCCGCACCGAATTACTACGGTTGAGATTATCCACTCGGCGGATGTGTCATCCCGTGAGTCATCGCTCACATAATAATATACATTTAAAAAAAAAAAAAAATCAAAAGCAGCAGCTATGGGCAACATACCTGCATCATAACTAATGAAGTGCAGGGGGGGTATATTTTTAAAACTGGAAGAACTACGGACACAACCAAGC